CAAAATTTATAACACTGTTACAAATTATTCAGAACTAACAGCATAGGTGGCAATTGAGCCTCTCCACATCCATCCTTGCCCTTGTCATACCATTCTGTGCCTGGGTAACACTATGCTTCAACTAGAGGGTTGGGTAACTGAACTGCGAGTTTCCAAAGACTGCTCTGTGCTTCAGACCAGCACCTGAGCAACTCCAGCTCCCAAGCACAGTTTGGCTGGTCAGAGTGGTGTGGGTATGCTCACTGTTCTGCCTGCTGCCTCCTCTGCAGCATTAAGATAACAACTCAGTAACTGCAGAAGTAGTTTTTAAAAAGTACAAAATTGACCCTGAAGAAAAATAAAATCATTAGAAAACAGCTTGGCTTTGACTAAGTTACACTAAAAGCTGCAAGACAGATTTATAGCAATATCACTTGGAGTACGAGATCACAAAAGTTAAACAGATTTGTTATGAGTCTTGTCACTGTAAAAATGAAAACATCAAAGTTGACCCATCTGCCTATAGAAACCTTTTGCCTCCTAACAGAAGGGCTGGCATGTGCCCTCTTCCTGGTTTTTGACCAATTTAATTCCCAAGAATCTGCCTCTAGTGAAACAACTGCAACAGCGAGAAAAACGGCACATCTGTATTTTCCATCAGCTATAGATGCATAGAAAACAAATGCACATGGTTCAGATCCAAGACTTAAGACAAAGTACAGTGATTTAATGGTTGCAAATAGACATTTCTGAAAGGAAAATACAATCAGACTTTACAAGATTATATCAAATACACAGAAATATCAACACTCTGATTGCAGATAGAAACAGATGGATAAATCTTCCAACAATGAGGTACACTATAACCTTAAGGTATGCAAATGGACTGACTTTTCATGTCTCCCAACTTCAACAAGGCAGCATCTGCTTAAGCACCAGTAGGTTTTCTGAGAAGCAGCATCTATCAAGCCCTAAGAAGTCGAAGCAAAACCAGGTATAGGTATGTGTTCACAGACTGGCTTTTCATTGATTTATACAAGCATGGTCAAAAGCTGTTAATTTTCACACTTCAAAAGAAATGATGCAAATTCTTTGGTGCTTAAATAGGAGGAAGTTCAAGAAATAGACGCAGCTCAAACACTGCATAGTGTCTGAAGCCTTGAAAAATAGCACTGCATGTATCCTGGACTGCTAAAGCCTTAGCACAATAATTTCAACATTCAGAGCTGAATGGGCAGATGTTATGGTGGGTGCCAAAATTTTACTAGCTCCCTTTCTGCTTTGGAGGGCTACTTACTCTAAGGCCACATAAACAAACCAATCAGTAAACAAGTATATTGTAGCTAATAATGCCTCATTTACGTGTACATTTGGAAGCAAATTTAGACAGCCATTCACTGTCAGAGTAATTAATTTCATCGCTCCTTGTTTCTTTTGTTTGAAGTGCCGAAAGTTCTAAAAATTGGGCAAGTAGAGGGCTCTATTCAGACACCTTAATACATACCAGCTTCTCTGTGAAGTCTATACATCGTCACTGCACAAGAATTTTTTCTGGTATTGTGCCTGACTTGCTAGTGGAGAGCAAGTCAGTCCACTTCAGGGTGAGGGTTTACAGTCTCCTTAAACTGCTACTGACTCGAATAGTCTCTCTGTTCCACCTGCTCTGCCCCACAGCTATTGCTAATGTTTTCATAACTTAGTACTGTGACAAAAGATTTCAGAACATTTGACCAGGGAGGTCCAGGACTGCCCTTTCAATTGTACATTGCAGTGCCACAACATAAAATCTCAGCACCAGGTACTCAAGTTATCTTGACAAAGATAGTGTGCATAACACCACAGGAGAGAATGCCAATGAGCTTTCAAGAATAGCAGTATAGTTTTGCTCTTCAATTTCCAGCATAAATAAGCATAAAAGCAACAGCTTACCGTCAAAAAGAGGTGAAGGTGCCACTGCATTTCATAGAATCATAGAATGGTTTGGGTTGGAAGGGACCTTAAAGATCATCTAGTTCCAACCCCCCTGCCATGAGCAGGGACACCTTACACTAGATCAGGTTACACAAAGCCTCATCCACCCTGGTCTTAAACACTTCCAGGGAGGGGGCATCTACAACCTCTTTGGGCAACCTGTTCCAGTGTCTCACCACCCTCACACTAAAGAACTTCTTCCTAATATCTAATCTAATCTAGTCAGACAATTTCTTCTTGTCTGACTCCAGTTGCACCATTCACACCATTCAACTCTTTTACAGCAGCTCCAATACATATTGAGTGTAGTAGTTGGTCCACCTCTCTACTTTTTTGCTGAATTACCAGGTTCAGTTAGCCATTTTAGCAACTTACACTGGTATAGAAGAGTTCAACAAACTCCAGAACCTGCACTGGTAAGGTCTGGAAGAAGACTACGAGTATCCCATTGGCTTTGATGAGCAATTCTGTAAGCATGCTCCATGTTGTGAAATTATGCCTGAAATTTCTAGTGTGACTCAAAACAACTGGACCAGCAAAACAGAAAGAAGCATGAGTCACAGCACAGAGATAGGAACAGACATCTATGATACCGGGGGGAGGGAAGGCAGGAGCAATCACTCACAGTGGCTCTGCTACCAAAGTCAGCGGTGCAAGTGGTGCAACAACACCAAGAATCCTCTCCTCCAAACTGCCCCACGGACTTCCCTCATGTTAGCTATGTTTATTTAACATTGCCATTACTGCTACTGAATTTTAAGTCAGTCAGAAGGGCTCACAAATTTTGCATTCCAAGCAAACAGGCTGCACTGAGTGAGACACCTGAGCTTATTTAAATGCTTCTGCAGTCTTAATTGACCAGAGGCAGTCAATAGTGGCAAACAGCAGCTGGTTTATACTTGTTTAGAATGCCCTGAAGCATGTGACTATAGATAGGAAATGTTGTATTTGAAAAAAAAAAAAAAGCTGCTTTCACATAACTCAAATTCTTCCAGTAGCTACAATATTCGGGGGGGGGGGAAGAAAAAAAAAAAAAAAAAAAGAAGAAACAGGAAAGACTATTTTAAAAAAACAAAAACAACCAACCACATAAGTAAAGATAAGCAAATAATAATGCCAAATAACATTTGCAAAATTTGGCTAAAATCATTCTATTGTAATACCAAACATTCCTTCTAAACAAGACTGAATCCAACATGAAGCATTTTGCCAAATTCTTAAGTAAATAAATAAACCAAGACATAGTCGACAGTAACTATGGAGAGGGAAGCATCACTGTATATTTCATTCAACTATTCACAGGAGATGAAGTACATTAATTGGGCGCATGCTTTAACATCCAGCACCGTGCATCTTGGTATCTCCCAGCAACATCCTGTATTTCATCATGAAATACTGAATCGAATGAAATAAATAGCAAGAACTTCTATCACTTCAGCAGCTAATTAAGTGGTCTTCCACAAATCGATTCAGGCCTTCAATACCAACGCATTCTTTCTTTAGGCTGCACTCCACAAATACTTCAGCAACGTATGCCCAGCATTTCTGAGGCAGCAGTGAGACTACTCAATGAAATTAATTATGTATTTAGACATTTGCAGGATCAACAATCAACAGTTAACTCTGTATGCTGGTAGTTCTTATTGTCAGGTGCTTAGCTTTCTTAAGTTGAATTCTGACTGAAAACACACGACTAGCTATACATGTATGACAGATAATTTAGATACATGTTGCATGTTGTCAAGTTCTGAGAGTACAGTACATTTATTATGTATATATGTACACACAGCAAGGCATGGAAGAAAGCCAGAAACTGGTTTGTAAATTAGAGGGTGAGACAATATATTTCAGATCAAAGTGTACTCTTTTTTTAATCATACAGAGTGAAAAATATTTGAAGTAAAGTAGCCATTTGTTCCCTCTCCAATGAAAATTCTTCTCTTTTTTTTTTTTTTCTGGGGGGAGGAGGGGCAGGGAGGGAAGTTAACCACTTCTCATTCTTACTTTTCCTTCCTGAGGGATAAATGACTGTACCTTCAGAATGTATCTTCAGGTGATCCAGCTGGAGGAGGTATGATGGCTTTATCTTACAAGTCACAGCTTTGACAATGCAATGAATCTATACATTACGAACTTTTGTACAACAAAATACCTGCAGCCCTGAAACACAACAGTCTGCCTAACAGACTCACAGTTAACTATCCGGAGGAACACACTCAACATTTCCCATCTTCCTGCCCAACAGTTTCTCCTCTAGCCGTGACAAATTTGAACAGCTACACACAGTTTACTCTTTATCATTCTGCCTAGCTACATCTCGTTCTCAAAAAGTCACACTGACAGGAAGATTTACTCATCCTAGTAAACTGGAACACTTTCTTTTCAGTAGAGGCCTGCACTGATTGGACATTCCTTTTTATACCTGTATTTTAAAATCAGTTTACAGAATGTGTTAGAGCGGTAGAGAGAGAACATAGTTTCATTTTGTTTCTTCACTAACCACTCCACTGCATGAGGATCAGTGTAGAACACAGAGGAGGAATATTTCAAAAGCTAGTAAGTAACAAAAGAAAACTCTGATGCTTACACTGGACTTTGTATCTCCATCCCCCCTCCAGTCTAAGCCAAGTGAAAAAACCATTTTGTTCAAAGTCAGGTCAGAACAGTGGATGAAATATCTTATCATAGCTTATACATAACATGGGCTTCTGAAATTACTTCAACATGGTGTTTTTCCACTCACTCAAATAAAAGCATCTCCAGAGCATCAAGATCTGATGGAACTTAGCCAGACAGGTATCCACAGCAGCTCAGAAATTAAGTAGTCAATTAAAAAAAAAAAAAAAAACAAAACCAAAAAACAGTTATTGTTCCCCAACATTTTCAACCAGCTTAAAGAAAATACAGTAGAACCTCACTGTTCTGCATTTACGACTGGGAGATTAACTGAATGCCATTTCACTTGTGACCGTTTTGCAACATTCCAGTGTTAAGAGTTAAGCCAGGACGATGCACTTCGATGTGTTCCGCTCACTTCAGTGGAGTGTTGCAATTCAGCTTTTTTTCTTATCGTGTGATATAAGCATACTTATAATTAATGGAAAATAAGTCCAAACGAGGTAGCACTGCCACTCTTTGCTGGAATGCGGACAGATTCTGGCCTAATTTTAAATAGTGGCTCAGCAAGACTCTACTGTAATCTACACAAAATGTATAAAACACGAACCTTTTCCAGAATAAGGCCACTAATTCTGCCATTGGCAATAGGCAGTGAAAAACAGCAGTTAAAAAAAACCTCACTTGATTACAGAGGTGTTTTTGAGGCAATAAACTGTGGGGAGAAGTATAAACGCGTTGTCCTCTCATCCCTCCTCTTTGTTTTCCAGTATAAGTATCTCTGCTTCATATACGTTCTACTCCATGGGGAGAAATTTCAGTCTATTTTCTTAGCTGGGAGACTAAGTAAGTCCACGCTACATTTAAAGATGGGGACAGCACTGTAAAACAGTAGGATTATAAGCTTCCCATGAGTCATAGTCATGATAGTCTGATGTCCAGATGCCCAGATTCGATACCAGGGCCCATAAAAAGGATCTGAGATGGCTGGGCACAACATGTTGTTCAAATTCACTTCTGTAACCTGAGAAAGTGACAACAAATTTATAAATTAACAATATTTTTGTGTTGCACTGATTCAGACACCTAAAATGGTAATTTTTAAACTACCATAATAATCACAAATGTTTAGGTGACAATCCTTCGTTCAACACAAGTAGGGCAGCTTTCAGAAGGAAAACAGATCCAAATTCAATTGTGCATTTAATAGATGGATTTATGCAGTATATAACCAATTGATTAAATATTTTACTGATACTTGTGCGATATGAGATACAACTGTCCATTGGAACAAGCAATTAAAAATTTGCATGCAAGTAGTCTTATCCACATATATCTGGACACTGAAAAACTAGAGTGTGTTGGTTTGGGTTTTTTTTTTTTTTTTACTTTGAGTGTACTTGCAAAGTATCCATTTATTAACCTGTATTTACTTACCAATCCCAGAATCTGCAAGATGCTAAAATGATATACAAACATAAACCCCGTGGATAAAAGAGCCCACCAGAAATTGCAGAGTGGTTCTGGAGTGTAGATACCTTGAAAAGAAAGGAATACATTAGTATTCATCTGAATTACTGTGTCCATCAAACACTCATGAATAATCCTCTCCTCCTCCTCTTGTGGATGCTAGGGCATCTGGCTTCAGCTGATAACCTACTCAATACCATTGCAGTAATTAATATTTGAGAGCCTTATTTAAAAACCTGCCTGGACGCATTCCTGTGTGACCTACTGTAGGTGATCCTGCTCTGGCAGAGGGGTTGGACTAGATGATTTTTTGAGGTCCCTTCCAATCACTAACATTCTGTGCTTTCTTACCTGGAGTGTACTGATCAGTTTCTTCCCTCCTTCTGGTCCAGCAGTAAAATGTACAATATGTTATCTCATTAAGCTTGCCTATTTTTCACCAACACCATTGATTTTTACCTCATTTTTCCTTCTACCACAGAAGTACTAAATGATTTTTAAATATAGAAATGGTATACAATGAATCTTCAAAAAAATCAGGTTATTTATACTTAAATGCCTGCTTCTTATGGGGTGTATGACTTCAGCACGTACAGAACTAACCTAGGTAGTGGCAGCTCCTGCACTGCACTAGAATCTAGCCTAATTGCCATTTCCTAATTTTATGGCTGTTTAACAACTGTGAAAAACTAACTTGCACCAATAACACCTAGAAACAGAAAAGCTCTATAAAGTAAAGTCAAGCCATTAATGACAGACTGTGCTGTTAAATGAAAACTGCTGTGGAGATACTTAGAGATATACAGTACAAACAATTTTATCACCAGTGGCTATCACAGATACTGTAAAATATTGTTTTCCTTCAAAGGAAGTAGCAGATATCAGGTTATTCCTAGGTTCACCTGTCTCTCTCCTCCCAAAACTAGGTTTTGTCAATTTACTGACAAAACACAATGTCACGTGATCTAGAATGAACCAAGGGAATCAGATCTAATAAAAGTACCTTTAGATACAAGACTATTTTTAGAATTAAGTATTCAAACATCATATGGTGAGAACAAAAACAGTTTACAGACTTGTCAAGACTCTTACTAACAGACATGAAGATTTCAACATAAGATACACAGGAAAATACTATTTTCTTTATGACTTTAATAATTTTAACCTAGGGACGCAAAAGAAAATATGCACTATGTCATGCTGCTCAGCTGCTATAAGAAATTGTAGAGTTTCAGATGATTACAAAAATACACTGGCATTTTTATCTGCCTTTGTCTGTTCTCTGATCCATTATATATTATTAAATATTGGAATGTGTATCCAGTACTCAAAGGATAGCTTACAGCAGAGTGCAATATTGTATTAGCCTTTGCTAGCTAGCACATTCAGTAATTACCAGGAAGATTCAACAGACTTCAGCATATACTGTACAGGCTCCTGGGCCCATGCATAGCTAGCTGTAACAGAACTCATCAGACTAAAGCTGGTAGGAGTATGCCTATGTATGGCGTCATATGTAGATAAAGGCAAGTAACTGCTGTTACGTGCTTTACCACACCACCATATCAAGTCTCAGGTTTAAAATCCCTGGAGGATTGCTTTCTCAATACCTATTGCCCTTTTACAGGGCAATTTTCTTCCATAGTTTGTATCCATCATACCAGTTCAGACTGATTTTGCAGCAGCTACCTGAAATCTATCTAGATTTCAGTAAGGCATTCGACAC